CATATGCATTTCAGAGAGGTCAGTGAACGTAAAAATGCACTACTTTATTCTGTCCAACACTAAAATAAGGCACCTAACCCTGGCCACCAGGTTTTCTCTTCTGTATTTGCTCATGTTAACATTCTTCAAAGGCCACATATATTCAACAGCAGGACCTGAAAGCTTTTATTTACCCAAAACACTGATGAGCCCATGCTGTCTCCTACCTTCCTTCATCCTGTCATATGTAACTCAAAAACAAAAGCAATGCTAGACATTAAACACGGGTAAAACAACTCATTGTTTGGGGTATTTTTCCTAAAATAACTACTTTGATACTTTGAAAATTTACAAACAATTTCAAAAGAAAATAATTGCCCTTCTGATTCATTGATGTCTTAAGCATGTACTTGATTTTTCTTATTGGAAAATTCAGAACTGCTGTGTGATATGAAGGCCAACTTCCTCGTCATGGAATTAAGGATTCATGGTGAACTGCTTTATGCCTACCTTTCCAAACTAGGTTCCCAACATTCCACCCTCCATGCTTGCACTTTAAACCCTATATTCATGCAGAGTTTGTAGTGGGTATTAAATCTAAGTCTTTTTTGTTTGTTTGCTTTTTTCGTTTTTTGTTTCTTTTTCTGAGACAGGGTTTTGCTTTGTCACCCAGGCTAGAGTACAGTAGCATGATCACAGCTCACTGTAGCCTGGAGCTCCAGGGCTCAAGCAATCTTCCCACTTCAGCCTCACAAGAAGTACTTGGGACTACAGGTGTGTGCCACCACACCAGGCTAATTATTTTATTTAATTTTTTTCAAGATGGAGTCTCTCTATGTTGCCATGGCTGGTCTGGAACTCCTGGGCTCAAGCAATCCTTTCACCTCAGTCTTCCAAAGTGCTGGGATCACAGGTGTGAGCCACTGATGAACAGGGCCTCAAAGTCTTTTTGAATGGTGACCGGTGGAGTTGTGCAATGCGGTGACTCTGTTTCAGCCATTTTTCTGTATTCTGCTCTATTGTATCCACCCCAACTCTATACCCTACACATCCCCATACACACATATACATACAATGCAAGTTCAAGTCCCCGATTTTGTTTATGCTTTCACATTATGTGGACTGCTCCACCTCCTCCCACACATGCACCCAGGCCGTCTTCACAAGGCCTGTTATTCTTTGAGCCTTAACTCAAACAGCCCCCCACCAAGCAACCTTTCTCGATTACTTCACCTTTTACTTGGCACCTCTGCAGGCCTCTAACAGTGTATTGCATACTGCTCTGTGATCATATTTTGATATTGCTCTTTTCTATTAGGCTATAAAGGTCTTAAGGGCAAAGACAATTTCTTTCTCACCTTCTTTGTCTTTGGCTTGATGAACTCAACTATTTTAAGTTCTTTGCAGTATAGCCTTCCTGAAAGTTGTAATATAAGTGGTTAAAGTCATCCCTCAAAACTCTATGAAACTTTCAGACAGCTTTTAACACTCCTCCATGTGTCATTTTCACCACAGGTGTGTACCACTCCCAATCCCAGGTTCCCCTGGGCTTTCTGTAACAGAAAGCATCTTTTTGGATTTTCCCCTGCCCAGGTTGAGCTCCTGGCTTAAGACTTTCTCTTTCCTTATTAAAATTGCTTCTTTCTAGCAAGCTCTTCAACCCAACTATCTAGTGATTGATTTAATAAATTAGTCTACTACTTCCAAGAGCGTGTGGTAAATTATTTAAGGTAGTATATGGACAAACTATTTTAATAGAAATAATTAATTTTATTATTTTTATGATGTATATAACTAACACATGAAATGAATAGTTTAACAGTTATTATTGCTTATGAGAAGGCTGAAATTCAAAAACTAAGTTAGTTTTAAAAAAATGTTAAATAAGGATACAGGTAACACACAAATGTAACACCCAAAACAAGAAGAGAAATCTTCAGATGTGATGATAGTCAGTTCTATTTGCCTATTTGTCAAGGCTGTTGCCCCAGTGATTCAATCAAACACTAATATAGGTGTTGCTGTGAAGGTGTTTTGTAAATATGAATAGCATATATAATTATTTGTTTTTAAGTAAAGGAGACTATCATCTCTAATGTGGTTGACCCTGACTCTGTCCACTGAAAGTCCTTGAAAGCACAGGTGAGGTTTCCTTGACAAGGAAGAAATTTTTCCTGTGGACTGTAGCATCAACTTCTGCCTAACTTCAAACCTGCCCTTCCCAATGGTCTACTCTGCGGATTTCAGACTTGTCACTAGCCTCCACAATCATAAAAGCCAATTCCTTGCACAGATAGATAAGATAGACAGATAGACAGATAGGTAGATAGATATCCTACCATTTCTTTTCCTCTGGTATAATCATTGAATGATATATCCAATGACTAAAGTTTTACTTAAGGTTTTCCTGTTCTACAGTAACTGCATATTAACTCTAACTTTCTGGAAATAATGCTTAGAATCAGAGCTTGACTTTATTGTCAACCACTATTGTAAATAAAAGTGAGATATCAGTATTCAAAGCTTGACAATATGCCCTTACTCCCCTTTCCTGCTTTTACCCACTTTATTTGTTTTGGCTTGTGGACATGAGGTCCCTGCCAAAATGTGTCAACTGGCATAGGAAGAGTAATTTATTTCAGCTAACATATGTAACCTGACTCTGTAAAATGGTACTGGTACTTGATAACCACATATGCTATCAAAATAGAGGTGCAACTTAGAATCCTAGGATCCTGGAGAATTCAAGCTCCACCAAGCTCTCATCAGAATAACTTGAAATGATATTTAAAATGGTGTTTCCTAGACCATCCATTTCAGTTCTACTACACAAGACCCAGATTTTTACAGGTTTCCCACATGATACTTACAATGATTTAGGAGTTCCCTAGTGGACCTGCAAAATGGTTCTGTCTTTACATTTTTAAAATTTTAGGGTTCTGCAACATACTGTATTTAAGGAATCTCTATTATAGCAACAAGGACCGCAATATTTAGAATCCACTTATCTAGTCTGTGGTAGGTTGATTTAGTGACCCCAATTTTTTACTCCTCCCTATGTCACACGCTTGCCATAGTAAGTTCATAAATTAAGTATATATTCACACTCCTTGGTACTAAATACTCATGAATGAAGCATATTTCCACACTCCTTGACTTAGGGATTGGTCATGTGACTTGCTTTAGCCAATAGCAGGTTGGCCAAAATTGACCAATGGGCCCTCAATGTAAAACAAAGCCATCCCAGCCACTATGGCCTGAAGCTGAGCCACCCCAAACAACACCCAGCTCTATGAGGACAAATGATTATTGTTTTAAGTTCCTGAGATTCAGAGGTGTTTTATTACATAGTGTTACTGCGGTGATCACTAAACGATACATAAGCTAATTCCCTAATAGTATGGAGGAGGCAACTGATGAACTAAGAAGCAAAGTGACTCCAATGGAGCCTTAATCCGAAGGAAAAACTCAAAATGGCAGGACTTTCATGGCAGGCCAGAATAACACATTGATAAAGAGGTTTTCTTCTCTTTTTCTGAGACGGAGTCTCACTCTGTCACCCAGGATGGAGTCTAGTGGTGCGATCTTGGCCTACTGCAACCTCTGCCTCCCAGATTCAAGCAATTCTCCTGCCTCAGCCTCCTGAGTAGCTTGGATTACAGGCATGTGCCATGATGACTGGCTTATTTTATTTTATTTTATTTTATTTTATTTTATTTCTATTTTTAGTGCAGGCAGAGTTCCACCATGTTGGACAGGCTGGTCTTGAACTCCTGACCTCTGGTGATCTACCTGCCTGGGCCTTCAGAAGTGCTGGGATTACAGGTATGGGCCACCACACCCAGCTGATAAAGAGGTTTTCAACATCCTTCCTTCCAACCACATAAAGTAGGCTAGCATCTTCAGATTGATACACCTTTGGAGTAGCAACATCTTTCCCATCCACAAAACATCACCGTGCTGCTCAGCCAAGGAAACAGCTGAAGTTCAGTGGCACCACCTTATGGTCTGTAAGATGGGAGCTTGGTGTCCTTCCACCTCCTCCAATGACCTCAGCTCAGTTACTTTCTAACAACCGCATACTAGCTGTTGGGTTAAAAACAAATACCACTAAACCTTATTGCCTTGAGCATGGCATCTTTTTTGCCAACCATTAAGATTTATATAGCCAAATGCCTTTATTTAATACCTCAAGAGAACATCTTGCCTATTGGACAATTACCTATGGTAGTTAATTTGACAGAAGGAAATTAGAGTAGAACTGTTTATTATAATCATGTCCAATTAGCCCTCAGATTCAGAATTGCTCACTAAGGCTCAAGAGTGTTTGAGCTGGGTGATTGATTACAGTGCTATGAAGAAACTACAAAAGGAATCTAAATGCCCTTGGGAAACTAAAGGGACATTTGTTAATGCCAGTACAAGTCACAGAGCCTGGAGCTTTATATTTCCACAGGGTTTCTTGGAAACTCTATTTTGCCAAATACCTTAAATTCAGGCCCAAGCATTCTCCCTGTTCACAGCCACATGGTGGATCCACTGCTGAAGGGAGATTAACACTGCAGTTTTCTTGCACAAGGCTCAGACCACACAATGCTAAAAAATAAAAAGATAAACATGATTCTAGGCACATTCCGTGCCTCATCTCCACAGCCCAGTTCCTGTTATCCATAAGTAGTTTTAAAATAGTCCACGTTTTTCAGTCCTGCAAAATCAACAGCACTGGAAAGTTGGCAGGTATACTTGTTTAAACAAAGCTCCCAAGTTTTCTGCTGGCAGGTGTTTCCAGAGTTCTTGGAGCACAATTCTTTGGATAGGATATTTGCCAATATACATAGCAACATGAAATTAAAAAAAAAGTGTTTTCCTTTACCACAGTGGAGACACTGAAATGCCTTAGATGCAAAGCTGGATATTCAGTTCAGAGGCGTATTTTGGCTGCAGGTCAAGAACAAACAATAATGAAATCCAGCATCTCTCTGCTCAGAACTCTGATGGGCTTCAGAGTGGAATGGGATCACTTATCAAATTGGCAACAGGCCCTCTCTGGCCATCTCTGTATAGTTTGACCCAATGAGTTTGGTTCTCCCTTCTTTGTCAATTCCCCTGTCTCCTGAATGTCTCATTCTCAAACTCATTTTGCTTGAAATTGTGGTGGGAGATGGTATGTTTGAAACTTAATATGCTGAACACAGAACAGGTAAGACATTATTCTTCCCCCATTCATTCCTAGTCCTTGATTTTAGTTATGTTTTTAAGTCCAGCTTTCCAAAACTGAAACCTGGGACTACTTTAAAAGCATATGACTAATTTCATAATCTGTTCCTTTGCAGTTGGATTGGTTCATAGTTGCTTCCCTGAGATTTATTCTCTGAGCCATTCAATTAAGTTCAACTTTGGTGCTGGAACCCCACAAGAGAGAAGTAATACCTTGTCTCTTACCCTGAACTGCAAAAAAACTAAATAGAAGATTTAAAAAAAAAAAAAAAAAGCAAAGCAAGACTAAAGTCTGAGGAGGGGAAACATAATCAAAGTAGGGAAAGGTCTGGGGGAGAAGTTTTTAAACCTTAAAGGAAGTCAAGATGTTTCTGGCTTACAAGGTACTTAATGGCCATTAAATTGTAACTTAGTGAAAATCAAGAGTTTTAAGTTCTGCCTACAAAAATGTAGAATACCAGGCAATACTAAAAGTCATTGTAAGTCTTTTTTTTAGTTACATGCTAATGGAAAATGTGTATTGAATTTAAGTTCTTTCGTTTTTGTATTAATTGGCCTCATCTTGGGGTTCAACTAATGCCTCTGACCGTATTATACCTTTCCTTCATTTCCCTCATAGTGTCTTGTCTTTAGTATTTTGGGAACTTCCTTATAAGTTTCCAAGCAAAGATACTCTTATAGATGTTCTGGGTTCAGAATGGGCCATTTCGGTAGAGTCTAGAAGTAGCTGAGGACCTTCTCTCAGAAAATTCATCTGTTTTGGGGGGGAAAAAAAAGCCCACCTGCAGTGGCTCACGCCTGTAACCCCAGCACTTTAGGAGGCCAAGGTGGGCAGATCACTTGAGGTCAGGAGTTGAAGACCAGTCTGGCCAACATGGTGAAACCCCATCTCTACTAAAAATACAAAAATTAACTGGGTATGGTGGCACACACCTGTAGTCCCAGCTACTTGAAAGGCTGAGGTAGGAGAATTGTTTGAACCCGGAAGTCGGAGGTTGCAATGAGCTGAGATCACTCCACTACAATCCAGCCTGGGCAATAGAGCAAGACGCTGTCAAAAACAAACAAACAACAACAACAAAAAACTAGCCATTCAATTGTCAGAGAGAAAACTAATTTTTTTCTTCAGTTTTACTTTAGAACTCTGGCCACGTAAAGAAATCACATTGTTCAGATTCTGAGTTTTTTACTCCAGGAAGACATCTGAGGAAATAACAGTGATTAATAATATAAAATTTGATCAGATAGACCTGAGTTTAAATTCCTGCTTTTCACCTACTTGTAGGGTGTTTTTAAAAATAAGGCTGTCAGTTCAGTAATGGTGTTGCCTCTCCTAGCTGTGATAATTAGATTCATTTATTAAAATCTCTGGGCTTTGGTTTCTCAGTGATAAAATAGGCGAGATGAGTAGATATGATTGGAATAATTAAATGAAGTAGTATAGTCAAGAGCAGAGCCCATAAAGGCAATTTGATTAGAATAGCCACAAATATTTGACTGCACCTTTAAGATCACCATACTTTTTAACTTTCACGTGTTTTCTTCCACGAGTAATAAATATCTATTGTAGGGAAATTAGAAAATATAGAGAAGTAAAAATAATGAGAATTATTTAATCACTTGTAGAATCACTTGCCAGAAAGAATTATTGAGAATTTGATCAAATTCTATCAGACTTAATCATAAAAAATCAAAGTGACATCAGATTGTCCCTGAAATGTGTTTTCACCTTTTAGAGTATCTGCCTGATCTCTTCTATGAAAGTGAGTGAAGAAAGACACAAGAAATTGATTTCTAGGCGGTAAACCAGGAGAAAGAATCCTGAGAAGATTTGAGAGGAAATGAACTTATTGTTTGTTTGTTTTCACAAAGGAAGAAATGTTGTGAATTCAAGACAGAGCATTGTTTCCTGCCAGAGTCTTTCTGGAAAAGGCAGTAGTGCTAAGGCAGGGTTTCTCTCAGAAATACAGCGAGCCCTGAAGGATTTCTATTGGGTAGGTTTCAGTAAAAATGATGAATCAATATTGTTTTTATTGTTAGCTCCCAGTGACTGAATGACTGAATTGGAAAGGACCGAGAAAGCAATAACTTTATTTTTCAAAAGTTGCCTCCCTTTTCCCTTCATTAGGATAATTTGTAAAAGCTTTTTGGCTCTTTCTGTGGTCTCTATTACCAAAAGATCTGAACAATGATTTTTGAAAATGTACCCCTAAAATCTATTTGATAGCAATGTTTTAATGTAATATCTAACCTATTGCTTCATCATATTTGGAATATTAACAGCATAGCTAAAATTTTTTGAGTGTTCTGTTTATGCATACGTTCTCCAAACTCCATTTTAAAGATAACGAAACTGAAGAGCTTAGAGGTGTTAAGTAAATTGCCCAAGATCACATAGGGAGTGTCAAACTGGAGCTTAAGTACATGCAGATCCACCACAGTCCAAAAAGCATCCCCTATTGACCACAGCACATTATGCCTTATTGTGTTCTTATGCAATATGCATTCTTACATATGTGGAGATGAAGGCAGAGAGGGAGAACTCATGTTTATTAAGCACCCACTAAAGGTCAGGCACTCACATATGTGCTATGTGCTTATGCTTTACATATTTAATCCCTTCCAACAGTACTGTAGATAGTATTATTCTCATCATCCAGTTAGAGAAGCTGAGGCTCAATAAGCTAAATAATTTGACTAATTTAACTAATCTATTAAATATCAGAGTTAGGATACCAACCCAAATCTAAAACCTTTCTACTGCACTTGGAGAATAAGAAAAAGGTTCTGAACTTCTCTTCCCCAATTTCACAGCCATAGTGAGATTGATTTTTAACTCTGTTCAATTTGCTAATATTTGAGGTATCACACTCTTTGGGTAAGGATGATCATTTATAATTTTGAATTCCAGTTAAATCCCCAAAACTTATTCCAGACTATACATTGGAGTAAAAAGAGGTTTATGCAGTAACAGTTAAACTATGTTTCTCTCTGCTTTTGTGAGACATAGAGCCCTCTTTACATTCCTTCCATGGAGTTGGACATGTGTCTAAGTTGTTGTGATAAGCATGCTGCAAATTATCTTCTTATGACAATGGATGTCTGTCATTTTCCTCCTTTCACTCTACCTCACTGCGATGGTGTTTTTGGCTCCTTATACTACCAAGAGAGGCTGCTAATATATCTTCGGTGCCCAGAATACAGTCCTTCTTTGCTATTGCTCCTGAAATCACCAACATCGTCTCCTAAGACTCCAGTGCTATCTCCTGTCTCTGGCCAAGTGTCCAATGCTAATGCTGCTGACATATTGAGGTCCCAAAGCCCAGTAAAGCAATTAGTAGGAAAAAAAATGGAAAAAAAACTTCTTTTGCTTATTCATATTGCAGGTCCATTGGGCCTGGGCCAGAGAACCAACAGAGTGACAGGCCCAAGATCTATTCAGAGTCCCAGCTCTGTTCAACACCAGCCCACTGTTCTTGAACCAGGTTGTGGCTGTTTGTCTTCACTTACCATGTGATCTTTCTCAAGAGACTCCTTATTCTTTCTTGTAAAGACTGGCTACGGCTATATAAAAACCTAAGAATAATCTCAGGTTTGGTTCCACCTGGACTCTTTACTATATACATATGTATGTATGTGGAAATGAGGTCAAGGGAATGTACAGGTTTGTTCAGTGTTAACAAGCTTATTACTGGCATGGATACAGTAAGTATTTGGGTATTCTAACTCCTAATTCAGAAAAGTATTATTTCCTTCATTCATATATTCACTCAACAAATGTGTTGAAGGCTGGTTTTGTGCCAGCCACTGTAAGAGGTAATGTATATGACACATGCTATCCTTTTAGAGCTCATAATCTACTGGTGTGATAAGTCCATTGCAGGGTTAAACTCAAGATCCAATGGGAGTTAATAGGAGAGATTTCTAACGTAGGAAAGGCTTCTGAGATGAGACGATCTTTAAGCTGAGCCTGCAGGCCAAGAAGTTAGTGAGGCTGAGGAAGAAAGCTGGTTTGTGGTCAGTGGGAAGTGCGGCTTGGGAAGGGTAGGCATTTCTGATTCAGTTAGTCAAGAAGACAGCTGAGCTCCAAGCTTTCTTGCCAGTAAGTTTACATTTTCCCTGGTCAAGCACCTGAGTTCCTCTAAATTACTTCAGAAGTTTAATGACTATTCCATTTTCTTTTTCTTGATAATAATATGGAACTTTGAAAACAGCAACTTCATTGCATAGAAGTTTCTTTGTGAATTTATTAGAATGAGAGAAAGAGGACAGGAGTTTAGTTCATGAGAAGGGTAGGGCCAGAAGCAAGACTGCAACTTTAAATAAGTTAGGTTAAACCAATATAAAATAACCCTCAGGAGTATATCGAGGTTTCATGGAGCCTGAAATTTATATAGTATTGCAGGGCTCTCTTTGAAAAAAATAATGTAGCGGGACACAGTGGCTCATGCCCATAATCCCAGCACTTTCGGAGGCTGAGGCAGGTGGACCACTTGAGGTCAGGAGTTCAAGACCAACCTGGCCAATGTGGTAAAACTCCGTCTCTACTAAAAATACAAAAAATAGTTGGGTGTGGCAGCAAATGCCTGCAATCCCAGCTACTCAAGAGGCTGAGGCAGGAGAATCATTTGAACTCAGTAGGCAGAGATTGAAGTGAGCAGAGATTATGCCACCACACTCTAGCCTGGGCAACAAAGCGAGACACTGTCAAAAAAAAAAAAAAAAAGAAAAGAGAAGAGAAGAAAAGAAAGAAAGAGAAAAGGAAAGAAAGAAAGAAAGAAAGAAAGAAAGAAAGAAAGAAAGAAAGAAAGAAAGAAAGAAAGAAAGAAAGAAAAGAAAGAAAAGAAAAGAAAGAAAGAAAATACAAAAATAAATCTTACTTTTGTAAATTTGTCAAGTATATGACTATGAGAACACATTGCGATTTTGGAGAGATCTTATCAAAGTGAAGAGCCTTGGTGCCTAAGCCTCATTAGCATCATGGTAAACATCCCTCTAAGACATGTTTCAGAGAGAGTGCCATCAACAGTGATAAAATCCCTCAAACCAAAGGCTGAAAGTACTTGCACTCATGTATGAGTGGTCTGTGGTAATTCGGAGAAGAAAAAGGGAAAAGACGAAAGTAAAGATTTGTTTTTCTGGGGGGTGGGGGAGTTGTGTGTGTTTTTACTTATAACTGTAGTCTACTAAGGGGGATTTTTTTCATGGTTATTTATAATAGACTCTGTGTTCTAGGAAGATTTCAACAACTTTTTAGCAAACAATGTTCACATAAACCTGAAATGAAGAGCCAAAGAGGATGTGGTCTTTCAGCACCTCCAGCTAAAAAATGCTGCAGAGGAACTTCCCGTATTAAGGTAAATGAACAAATAAATCTTCCTGTGGAGACACAAGTTTTCTGAACTGATTTTATTTGCAACACAGTTATTCAAGTATGGACTGGGAACAGGAATGGGAGGGAGTGGGGAGCAAAAGAGGGAAGATATAAAAGTGTTGTACTTTTGAACTGGCTCTCCAGAAATAAAGAAAAAGCCTTGATATGTATGTCGATTTCTGTGGTGTCCATACTGTCACTATGGCTCACTTCAATCTTCTGATTTGATACCACTAACAAGGTGTTGCGAAGACATGGGCAAAATCAATTCTTGTAGGTCAGTGAGATCCACTCCAGAAGACAAATCCCTGGATGTAAACTTTCTTTGGTCTGACTGATGCTTCCTTGTGGAGGTACCAGAACAGACCTTTGGTTTAAAATGCATCTCAAATGTGAAATCAGGTTCTTTTCTTTGCTTGAAGCACCTGCAATAATATGCAGAGATTGGATTTCAGGTCCCACATGCTCTTGAGTTAATTTTGCTGGATTAAAGGGTGTGCAGGCCCTTCTGAGTTAGGGCTGGCTAGGGTTTTGTGAACTCCAGCTGAGATTCTGGCATCTTCCTCATCAAGTTTGGTATTAACAGCTGCCACCTTCAGAAGACTGGTAGAGGTTCAAGGTTAGGCAAAAGCACAGAAATTACAAAAACTGACACCTTTTATCAAGGGCTACTTAAAAATATTGTCTGTTTTTGAAAAAATGTGGGTAAAGAAATGTTTTCAACAAAAGTTTGATTGGTGGGTACGTATCATCTATTTATATATTAACAGCACATGTAACTTGCAGCATAAATATTTTAAATAAATTGATATACACAATTCTTCCCTCCCTTCCTCCTTTCTTCCCTCCTTCCTTCCCTTCCTTTCCTCTCTCTCTCCTTGCTTCCTTCCTTTCTTCCTTCCTTCATTCCCTCTCTCTCTCTTTTCTTCCTTCCTTCCTTCCTTCCCTCTCTCTCTCTCTCCTTCCTTCCTTCCTGTTGAGTAGTTATAAGGTTCTAGGCATGTAACTTAATGTACACTTACTCTAGTAAAGCAATTAATAAGACAAAACTTGTACATTGAAGGAGCTCATAGTCAGGAAGAAGGAGACAGTTGCGTAAACACCTACTGAAGAATGTTTCAGGGATTGAGATAAGAAGCTAAGCTGGGTAGCAAGCAAAAGCATGAAAGCAGGACTGTTAATTCTGGCTGGGTGAAGGGCCAAGGTGGAGATCAAGGCTGAATTTGTAAAGTCATAACAGAGGAATTTAAAAGGTGAGAAGCCTGATAATCAAGGCTATGGGACGTGAAGGCAGTGTGAGAAGGGGTGGGTGGAAGCTTACTGACTGGTCAAGGCAGTGCAAGAAGTTTAACCTGTCTGGAAATATGCAGACAAGAACTGGAAAGGGCAGTCTGTGCATGAAGATTCCAGGAGAAGCCTGATGATGGAAAAACCTTAAAATCACATCGAGGTTTATTTTATAGTACTACTGTTGAAGAACCATTTTGGGTTTTTAATTGGGGAATGATACGAACATTTCCGGGGTTGTTGCTCTGTTTTGTTTTTAAGGATCAGTACAAACTAGCTGCATGAAGAATGGATGGGAGAATAAGAAGCTATGGCAATAACGACAGTTAGAATATATCAATGGGCATGGAAGAGGCTGTTGACCTGGGGAGAGTACCAGTAAAGATGGCCTATGCAGGGGAAAGAACTCGGGGATTTTATAAAGTTAGAATTGTCAGGACTTTGTCTTCATTTCAGGCAGGGTGAAGGAATGGTTTAAGTTGCCTCCAAGGTATTTTGTTGGGGGTGAGGGGTACAGAGGGGTCTTACTGAATGGTGATGAAAAAGGGACACAAGCGAAGGATCAACATTGGAGAAAAGATAACCAAACCCTGGGAAGCTTAAGGAACAAAATGTAACAAAACAACAGGGATTGTTTTATAAAATACTTTGAGATATCCAGGATCAAAGATATGATAAAAACTAACATCGTGTATTCTTGCAGTAACTTTTAATTTACAAAAACAGTCCCATACATTATCTCACTTGACTCTGACCCTTATGCACTATGTAAGAAGGGCAGGGCAAGCACCAGAAACCCAGGGTTACAAAATGTAGTGATTGGGTCTCAGAGGGATTGCAAGGCATGCTCAAAATCCCACAACTGCGCTGAAATAGGACAAAGAGAAATATGGTCACTCAGTGCTTAGAACTCGGAGGGATCGTGAGGCATGCTCGAAATCCCACAACTGAACAGAAATAGGACAAAGAGAAATATGTTTGCTCAGTCCTAGGTGCAATGCTCATGACAAGAATGGGAGGACAGACGGAACCCCTTTAGAGCTTGATTTTCCTTCCCTGTTGGAATATTTCTGCCTTTGGCACTGGATACGATACCTCCAGTATCTGGCTTTGTTGAGTAGTTTCTTGATGAGATCCCCAGTCGTATCAGTGGAGACATGTGGGTCTTATATGTGTTGCCTAAAGTTATGTCCAAACTGTTGAGGCCTTGATGTTCCTGGAGCTTGAATGACCCATCACCTTGGAGGGTTCTGAAGTACTGATCATTTCACTGGTCATCCTAAAACCTGAAACTGAAGACAGGGAGGCAAAAATATACTGTCATCTTTTCCTTTCTGTGAAAAACAGAAAGAAAAACACAGTAAACCTGCCATTTCCCTCAGGTCAAGTGACAGGCACTGACCCTTGAATTTTCCATTCAGAGAGCTCCAAAGTAAACACAGAATCACGTAAGCCTGAAGAAAAGAAGCCAAATTAGGAACATCACACTTCCTCTCTCCCAGAGAAGACCAGTTTTTCCTATTACTCTAAGTAGGACACTAGAAGAGAAAACAAAGTCCCTTAAAAATCAATTATAAATTAAAGAATTTGTAATGTAATACGCTTTGCACATAGATGATGGCATGCAATTAAAAAATCTGTTTAAGTGTTAGCTTAGCATTTGTAAACTCTACCAAACAACCTACATCTTCCTACCATTTGCTCATTTGTTATAACTGAAAGTAATGTCTCCTTAAATATTAAAGCTGATGGAGAAAAATGTACCATGCTTCTTCTCTCATCTCAGACATGAGAAAAATTACTCTCAGACTTATTTGCACAGTTAAGTTTACCCTTAGAAGTACCATCTCTTCAGTTTTGAACTTAAGTTAAAAGTGATGGAGTTCAGTAAAATTATCAACAGGATTAGACACACCTCAACCCCATTCTTCCTTATTAAAATGCATTTTTCTCCCCTTGGTGACCAGGACGACATGCTCTGCTGTGATTCTTCCTAACCCCTTCCCAGAATTCTCCATTGGGTCCTTCTCTTCGTGGTATCAGTCTCAAATCTCAGAACTCAGTCTTTACCTCCTCTCTTACTCATATTCCTAACAATTTTATACAATCCATCCTTTAACTCTCATCTCTAGGCTGACTACTCCCAAAATTATAGCACTAGTCCTAATCTTTGCTGTAAAATCTATACTGGTACAACCAACAGCTAACAACACCTCTACTTAAATATCTAATAGCCATGTCCAGGCCGGACTCTTGCCTTGCTGCTATCCCCAAACCTACTCCACCCACATCCCTCCCACCTCAGCAAGTGGCATCATCATTCTTCCAGTTTTTTAAGATAAAATCCTAACAATCATCCTTGATTCATCTATTTCTCTAATATCCCACATCCAATCCATTAGCAAACTCTCTGCTCCACCTTCCCAATACATTTCAAAGCCAATTGCTTCTCATAATCTTTATTATTTCTTACATGGATTGTTGCAATCACCTGCTAACTTGCTTCCCTGCTTCTCTTATCTCTCTTCTCTTCCCACCCGACAAAGCTATCTTTTTACAGTTTAAATCAGATTATGTGATTCCTCTTAGAATAAAATTTAAATACCATATCAGGGCCTCCAAAGTTCTACACGATCTGGTTCCTGTCTTCTTCTCTGCTCTTACCACCTAATATTCTGTGCTTTGCTTGCTCTGCTGCAAATACATTCATTTTCTTTGGATCCCCTGAACATCCAAGCACTTCCCACTTCAGTGCCTTTGCACATGTTATTCCTCTCCCTGGAATGCTCTTCCTGCAGTTCTTTACACAGCTTAATTTTTAACATCACTCAAGTTTTGGCTCAAATGTTACTTCTTCAAGAAAGGTCCCTTTCCTCACTCCCCCAGACTTTTCATTGTCTATTTGCTACATTTTTATTGAAAACATTAATTATTACTACAAAAATTACATGTATCAATTCCTCTTAGTTTACTATTTTTCACCCCAGCTTCCATAAATCTAAGTTAGTAGGGCCTATGTCTCTTTTTGTATTACCTATGTATCCTCAATGCCTAAAAGAGTACCTGGCACATAGTAGGCACTATATAAGCATGTGATGACTTGATGAATAAGTTAAATAAATGTGTCTATAAGATTCAATATCCCTGGTAAACATTGTTTTTTTTTTTCTCTTCTAACTTGCATCAAACAAGCAATATGTGTGAAGCTAAAATATGTAAATTAATGATCTCAACATTTACAACAACCTGAGAACTAACATCATACATCTAGAGAAAATAACTCTTCCAAACATTGGCTGGGTGGCATAAATATCAAATACACTACTGCTGTCAATATTAGCAAGACAGTAGTGGAACAACTTTCTCCAGAATATTCTGATAAGACAGATAGTGTATTGGCATTACCTAAGTTTTTTAGGTGAATCCCTGTATCTTCTCACTCAATAAAGGGCAATTGAGTGACCACTATATGCCAAACACTGTGATAGATACAAAGACATGTGGATGAAAAGACAAGCAGAATCTTGCCCTCATGCCACCAACAGGGAGGCCAGATGTTGAACAAATAATTATCAAGAGGCAGAAAAATGCTAGAACCATGGAATATTAGAGGAAACCATTACATCCACATTTATAGACAGGAAAATGCAACTTATAGAGAAAATATGGCTAACTCCTGGAACACCACTGGTTCAT